TTATTTTTAAATCTTAATATTATAGTATATATAATCCTAAAAGTATAGTTTAAAATAATAGTCATTAGATTTAATATTATTAATAAGAAGAATGTAATGAGTTAGTAAAGTGGATAAGTTGTTATTCTTCTAAGTAGTAAGTTGTAAGTTCAAAATCTATTAATGATGAAATTTGAATAATTACCTATGTAATATATAAGTAATAGCATTCTGTCGATTAATTAGGATAGGATATCTGTAACTATGGTCATATCAGCATGACTAACAGGTCTGAGCATCTGTATAATCTGTTACATAAAGAAATGCAAATTAGTATCAGGTAGTGCAAATCTAAAATAAATTCTTAGAATATGTAAATTTATAAAACTAGGAAGCCAGAGCTTACTTAGAAATTCTGATCAGAGAAGTAACATAGATATTTGATGATACTACTGTAAAGACTAGACCTAGAAAATAGATACCAATATAGAAGAATTGGGCAAATAGAACCTTAACTAAGAAGTATTACCAATCAGTTTATCAGATATCAAACTAGAGAAAAAGGATATTAGACTGGTCTCAATATACCAAGGACAGGTTACAATCCTTCTAGACTATCTGAATTAGGAGTTTGAGATCAAAATATAAGTATACTAAAAGTACTAGAGATATGCTGTGAAGTCAGTATTAGAGTCTAGATAAACTCTATAAAGATAGCCCTTTTTAGTGTTCTAAAAATAAATAGATAGTTAACAATAGAAGGCCTCATATGTCCTACTTGCAGATGACATGTTCTGAAATATATAATAGTCTGAGAACTAGTACAAAAAAGGTAAGTACTATAATACTCAGACAATATACTGATTAGGTATATATAGGGGATTAGTTGGAGTTGCATTATAACAGAATAAATGATTAGAGGATTTAAATAGATAATCTCCTAGTAGGTTATAAGTATAGTATCTAGTATAGAACCTTAGAACAGACTACTTAAATAGGTAACCAAAAGTTGTATATATAACTAGTTGTATTCTTATCTCTGTAAAAATAGTTGTAATAACTAACCTAATAAAAGTCAATAAAGTGTTGTCACAAAGTATGCCCTTTAACAAAAAAAAAAAATTTATTAATAAGTTTTTTAATTTATTTTATAGAATATTAGTTTATAGCAACCTATCACTATAACGATTCCTATGATCAACCAATCAGAGCATATAAAAATTATCAAAACAATAATAAAATTTTAAATTTTTTTAAAACTTTTTTTAATTATCCCTTAATTCGTAATTCAGGCAAATATAACAATTTTTTTTATACAACAAAATCATATTAAGCAAAGACCCCTTAATGTATAATTGTTTTGAATCAGCAAAACCTGTATAATTAATAAACATTAAAATTTTCAAACAAATTTGCTTGAAATATAATTTATTCCAAATTTAAAAAAATGTTATACTGGCATTAATTCTAATGATCAACAACTTATCAGACCTGTATGATTATTAAACAAAATTTTCAGGCAAATTTGCCTGGAATACGGTTTATTCTAATTTCAAAAAAATGTAATACTATATTAAATTCCAATAATCAACAACTTGTACGATTATTGGACAAATTTTCCAGACAAATTTGCCTGGAATATGGTTTATTCTAATTTCAAAAAAAACATTACACTGCATTAAATTCAAATGATTAACAACTTTTACAGGTTTATTTAATTTTAAAAACACATTATCGATTATGCAAGTATTTCACTTATATACAGAAATAGTGTCTTATCTTTATTTATTCTAGCTATTATTCTTTCAATCTTATCTTTTATCAGTTAGTATATATATACACATATTCATGCATAAATTCATAAGTATGTATGTGAATATATGCCAGATATATAACAGAAACTGATAATTCAATAATCTTAAACATGGTTTCTGGCCTATTAAATCATATCTGGGTACTTTGTATTGTTCTATTGCATAGCATATTCTAACTTTACTTACAAACTTAGTAGATGATATGCAAGTGCAAATATACTTGAAATTGAAACTGCTTTACTTTATTTTACTAGCAGCTTATTTAACTAACATCACACCAAGTGACAATTTACTAAAAATTTATATCTGCAACTAATCAAATGCTAACCCTAACCCTATGTGATATTAGCTAAATGAAGTTTTGGTAAATTGACTGTCTGTGAAGTGAGCAGTACCATAAAATAGAAAGTCTTCTACTGTATTTAGATAAACTGCTTGTTTACCAGTATGAATATAAATAAAATAAAAGTTGTACTTACCCAGCAAGTGTAAGCACTGTTTGAGTAATGTCGTAAATTGTGTTTAGATTGATATTATTAACTACTATCTATTCTTTTTCTTATGAAAATTATCATTTTTTTTTATTAATACTTTGCTTACAATTATTCAATCATTTTTTTTCATTAAATTGTTTATGATCATACTTTTTTTTTATACTAAATTGTTTATAATAGCTTTCACTTTTTTTTCATTAAGTTGTCTATTAAAATCATTATTTTTGTTTTATTTTATTAAGCTATTACTATTACATGATTTGATACATTTTAAAAAACTGAATATTAATATCTCTTGACACCATCGTTGATGAAGAAGATCCCAACACACAATACTCGGTTACTTTCAAACACAATTGCTATAAAGAGTTGATAATTAATCATATACTTGTAAAAGCTAATAATACATTTATTGAAGAAGAACAAGTAGACAGTAGAGAAGAGTTAGACAGAGTAGAGAGAAGGATTTGTATAGAAAGGGAAAGGAATAGAGGTAGAAGTAGAGGTAGAGCCAGAGGTAGAAGAAGTCTAGAGAAAGTAGAAAAGAAAAAAGTAAAGAAAGAAGTATTAATAATGAATATGGTCATTCATATTCATCATTATCTATGTTAGAGCCTTCTAATTTTATTTCTATACAGAACTATTACCTACTTCAAAGAGGATATGCAAGGCTTTCTAATGACTTTCAACTAGGCATTGTTAATCTTCTTGCACTTTTTTAACTATTTTTTACAGATGAGCAGCTGCAAATAATCATTGAAAATACTAATAAATATGAGCAGGTTAAGAATAAAAAAGGTGGTCATGCTTGGAGTTTATTGACTTTAAGTGAATTAAAAATTTGAATTAGTTTAATAATCTACAAAAGAGTTTATCAAATTAATGCAGTAGAAGATTTGTGAAATCAAGATAAAAAACAAGCAACTCATGAGATTAAGAGGTTCATGTCTTTACTTAGGTTTAAGCAAATCAAACAGTTTTTCATATTTCAGATCTAGGTAAATCTTATCCTTATTGGTTTTCTAAAGTGAAACCTTTTGCATCCCATGTTCAAAATGCAATTAAAAAATATTACATTTCCAGTTCAAATGTCTTAGTTGACAAAATAATCATATGTTTTTCTAGGCGTAGTGCCTATACTATAAAAATGAAAAAAAACCTACTTCAGAAGATTACAAAATTATCTTGCTTTATGAACATAGATATACATGGTAGTTTGTGTTTACTTCACAAATTGAAAAAATGCATCTGTAGAATCTATTTCTGATATTAGCAATGCAGGATCCTTAGTTGTGCATTTGACATATAAGCTGCCTAGTAATAAAATGTACCATGTATACATGGACAATTACTTTTCTAGCATATCACTTTTTAAATATTTATATAAAAATGACATTGGTGTCTGTAGCACTGTTTGTACAAATTTAATTAGTTTTTCGAAAGAATTAAAAGCAAGCAAAGAAATGTCTTTAGATTGGAATATGCTTTTAGAAAAGGTAGTTAACAATGTATTAGCTATTCTATAGATTGACAATAGACCAGTAACCATGTTAACTACTATTCACGAAATTTCAGATGATGATTGGAAAGTTACTTGTAATCAAAGAAGACCACATGAAACTAGCATGAATGCAAACATAGTTCATCAAATTTTTGAAGATTCAAGTCAAAAAGAACTAGCCATACTATGAATAATCGATGACTATAATTATAATATAGGTGGCATTGATATCACTGACCAACTTCATAGGTATTATAACTGTCAATTGACAGTTAGATGCACATGGCTTCTATTATTCTTTTGAATCTTAGATACCATGCTTGTTAATTGTGTAATTTTATATTGCAAGATTACTAACTCAAATATTTCGAGTAAGAAGTTTAGAATTAATTTAGTATGAGAATTGATCCAAGACACTTTTGACAGTGCAAAAAATATGTCTCATGATGAAGCATCACCACAAATCTCTTCAAAAAGAAAATGAGCTTTTCATGTGACCAAAAATTATGAATTGCCTATAACTCATTTATTAGATGAAGAGCATCTTGTAGAATAAGAGTTAAAAAAGAGGCATGTGTTTACTGTCATTATTTATCAATATGTGAAGAAAAGGCAATTAATTATAATAATCCTCTACAATCCTAACTATGGTGCATTAAATGTAAAGTTCCACTATGTTGTACCAAACCAAGACCACATTTGCTTCAGAGATTTTTACTCTAAAAATAATAATTATATTTAAGATAATTCAAGCTTACTAAGGTTTGTTCAAAAATATTCATATACAAGACTGATCTTAGATGGTCAAAACTATTAATAACAATATTAGTATTATAAGAGTTGGATTAAAATTCAATTCTAATATATAGATAAATAATTAGTAATAAAATTTAAAATAGGATTTGCTACATAACAATGTATCTATTTACAGTATTAAGAAAATTTTAAATTATTACTTGTGTTGCATTAAAACTTCTTTTCACTAGTTTGAGATACAATATATAGATAAACAACCAAACTTAAGTCTCTCATTATCTAGATGTTTTTTTATAATCGGGATGAACCTAAATCATGTAATACTTGTTAAAAAAAAAACAAAAAAACAAAAAAAAAACTATTGCTTTGAACAAAAGATATTAATATTTTTTTTTAAAAAAAATTTAAATGATCTAATTCTGAAGTTCAACATAAAACAGCACATATTTCTACACAATGTTCACACTATACACTGAACTTAGTAGCACTAAAATTGATGTTACATCTGTCTGAATACTGAATTTAGAGTGTTCAGAATTCTGCGATGCATAATTTTGCTTGCTTTAAAAATATTTTTTTGTATTGTATTTAGTTTTTAAAAAACAATTGAAGTTGCATTTATTTTATAGAAACAATACAAAAAAAATTTTTAGAATGAGCAGAATTATGCACTTTAGAATTATAGACATCCTAACTGAATTGTAAATTGGGTATTCTAACATTTTTTTATTGTACATACATATTGATATGTTCGTTTATTAAAAAATGTTGTGCCAAAAATGTTCAAGATCTACAAACTAAAGTTTATTGCATACCGATACTTACAAATATAGTAAATAGGTTTTTCTGCAGGTACTGTATGTATGTCATAATACTGCACAAATAGTTTGAATGCAATAATCAGATGAATGCACAATTTTGTCAAATAGTATTATTTTATTTTACTTAAAATTTAAAATTTCATAGTAATATCTTCAAAATTGATTAATTTTAAAGATAAATATGAAATGTATTAGAATAAATTAAGGGTTATTTGGATATTTTAAAACTAAATTTAAATAAACTTGATTTTAAAATATTAATTTTTATAAAAAAAAATAATAATTTATTATTACTAAATTTTTCTAGGCAAATTTGCCTAAAAATGATCTATGAATTAAGGGTTAAAAATTAATATTTTAAAATTAAGTCTATTTAAATTTAGTTTTAAAATATCCAAATAACCCTTAATTTATTCTAATACATTTTATATTTACCTTTAAAATTGATCAATTTTGAAGATATTACTATAAAATTTTAAATTTTAAGTAAAATAAAATAATACTATTTGACAAAATTGTGTATCTGCCCAATTATCGCATTTGAACTATTTGTGTATTATTACATACATATGTACAGTACTTGCAAAAAAACCTATTTACCATATTTGTAAGTATCAGTATATAATAAACTTTAGTTTGTAGATCTTGAACATTTTTGGCACAACTTTTTTTTAATAAATGAACATATCGATATGTATGTACAATAAAAAAAAAATTAGAATACCTAATTTACAATTTAGTTTGAATGTCCAAAATTCTATGGTGCATAATTCTGCTCACTTTAAAAATATTTTTTTGTATTATCTTCATAAGATAAACGAGACTTCAAACATTTTTTAAAAACTAAACACAATACAAAAAAATATTTTTAGAGCGAGCAGAATTATGCACTACAGAATTATGCATTACAGAATTCTGGAAACTCTAAATTCAGTATTCAGACAGATGTAACATTAATTTTAGTACTACTAAGTTTAGTATATAGTGTGAACATTGCGTAGAAATCTGTGCTGTTTTATGTTAAACTTCAGGATTAGAGTGCTTGAATTTTTTTTAAAAAAAAATTTTAACATCTTTTGTTCAAAGCAATAGTTTTTTTGTTTTTTTTTAACAAGTATTATATAATTTAGGTTTATCCCGATTATAAAAAAACATCTAGATAATGAGAGACTCAAGCCTGGTTGTTTATTTACATGTCATATCTAAACTAGTAAAAAGAAGTTTTAATGCAACACAAGTAATGATTTAAAATTTTCTTAATACTGTAAATAGATACATTGTTATATAGCAAATTCTGTTTCAAATTTTATTACTAATTATTTATCTATATATTAGAATTGAATTTTAATCCAACTCTTATAATACTAATATTGTTATTAATAGTTTTGACCATCTAAGATCAGTCTTGTATATGAATATTTTTGAACAAACCTTAGTAAGCTTGAATTATCTTAAATATAATTATTATTTTAGAATGCAAATCTCTGAAGCAAATGCAGTCTTGGTTTGGTACAACATAATGGAACTTTACATTTAATGCACCATAGTTGAGATTGTGGAAGATTGTCATAATTAATTGCCTTTTCTTCATACATAATAAATAATGACAGTAAACACATGTCTCCCTTTTAACTCTTCATTCTACAAGATGTTCTTTGTCTAATAAATAAGTTATAGACAATTCATAATTTTTGGTCATGTAAAGGACTTATTTTTTTTTTGAAGAGGTTTATGGTGATGCTTTATCATGAATTATGTTTTTTGTGCTATCAAAAGTGTCTTGGATCAATTCCCATACTAAATTAATTCTAAACTTCTTACTTGAAATATTTGAGTTAGTAACCTTGCAATATAAAATTACACAATTAACAAGCATGATATCTAAGATTCAAAAGAATAATGAAAGCCATGTGTATCTAACTATCAATTAACAGTTATAATATCCATGAAGTTGGTCGGTAATATCAATACCACCCATATTATAATTATAGTTATCGATTATTCATAGTATGACTAGTTCTTTTTACTTGAATCTTCAAAAATTTGATAAACTGTGTTTGCATTCATGCTAGTTTCACATAGTCTTTTTCGATTACAAGTAACTTTTCAATCATCATCCAAAATTTCGTAAATAGTAGTTAACATTGTTGCTGGTCTATTGTCAATTCATAGAACAGCTAATACATCATTAACTACTTTTCCTAAAAGCATATTTCAATCTAAAAACATTTCTTTGCTTGCTTTTAATTCTTTTGAAAAACTAATTGAATTTGTACAAACAGTGCCACAGGCACCAATGCCATTTTCATGTAAATATTTAAAAAGTGATATGCTAGAAAAGTAATTGTCTATATATACATGGTATATTTTATTACTAGGTAGCTTATGTGTCAAATACACAACTAAGGATCTTGCATTGTTAATACCAGGAATAAATTTTACAGATGCATTTTTTTTAATTCGTGAAGTAAACACAAATGACTATATATATCCATATTTACAAAGTGAGATAATTTTGTAACCTCCTGGAGTAGATTTATTTTTCATTCTTACAGTATGGGCACTATGCCCAGAAAAACATATAATCATTTCGTCAACTGAAATATTTGAACTAGAAATGTAATATTTTTTAATTGCATTTTGAACATAGAATACAAAAGGTTTCATTTTAGAAAACCAATAAGAGTGAAGTTTACCTAGATCTGAAATATGAAAAAACTGTTTGATTTGCTCAAATCTAAGTAAAAACATGAACCTCTTAATCTTGTGAGTTGCTTGTTTTTCATCTCAATTCCACAAATCTTTCACTGCATTAATTTGATGAACTTCTTTGTAGATTATTAAACTAATCCAAATTTTTAACTCACTTAAAGTTAATAAACTTCAAGCATAACTACCTTCTTTACCCTTAACCTACTTATATTTATTAGTATTTTTAATAATTATCTGCAGCTGCTCATCTGTAAAAAATAGTTGAAAAAATGCAAGAAGGTTAACAATGTATAGTTAAAAGTCATTAAGAAGCCTTGTATATCCTCTGTGAAATGAATAATAATTCTGTATAAAAATAAAATTAGAAGGCTTTAATATAAATAATAATAAATATGAATAACCATATTCATTATTAATACCCCTTTCTTTACTTTTTTCTTTTCTACTTCCTTTAGGTCTTTCTTTACTTCTGGCTCTACCTCTACTTCTATCTCTATCCCTTTCCCTTTCTATGCCAATCCTTCTCTTCACTCTGTCTAACTCTTCTTCACTGTTTATTTGTTCTTCTTCAATAAATATAACATTATTAGTTTCTATAAGTACATGGTCGATTACCAACTCTTCATGGCAATTGTGTTTGAAAATAACTGAGTATTGCATGTTGGGATTTTCTTTATTAATAATGGTGTCAAGAGACATTAATATCCAGTTTTTTAAAACATATCAAATCACATAATAGTAATAGCTTAATAAAATAAAACAAAAATAATGATTTTAATAGATGACTTAATGAAAAAAAAAGTAAGAGCTATTATGAACAATTTAGTATGAAAAAAAAGTGTGATTATGAACAATTTAACAAAAAAAAAAATTAGATAATTGTAAGCAAAGTATTAATAAA